TTCATAAATTTTGAATTTTTAAATTTCAGTGAATAGCTCCTCGATTGTCATGCTCTCCTGATACTTTTTCATAAATTTTGAATTTTTAAATTTCAGTGAATACCTCCGCAATTGTCATGCTCTGCTGATATTTTTTCATAACATTTGAATTTTTTAATTTCAATGAATACCTGAAAAATGAATAATGAATAAAACAATTTCAAATATCCCACAAATCTTGGTGCTGCCATCTGGTAGTAAATAACTGACGCATGCGTATTGTCACATTTTTGTTGTTGACTACAGATGGACGTAACCTCTTAGTTGTCAGTAGATTTGAGTGGCGGTTGGGTCAAAAACCTGCACTGTCCCCAATTAACTGAAGGTCTCCTTGAACTTTATCATAAATAATCTCCACGTGTAATTCAACTCGTTATCTATCATCTCTTCGATCTCCTTTAATTCGCCAAATTTCATACCACGACTTAAACTTCAAAGATAAAGCCAAAATAATGGAAATCTCACAACTATTCGAGTTCATGGAGTTGGTTGGGAGACTTAAGGTATGTTGAATATATTTTACTGTTAGATAGTGAGTAATGACAATGGATGCCATTGTTCTCTTTATGTGACTATTAGCATATGAAACGTACTGGGTGGGTCCGTTTGGGTATCAATGACCCAGAAAGTATTGCTGGCCATATGTACAGGATGGCTCTTCTGGCAACTCTCGTTGATACAAAGGAAAATATCGATAAAGCCAAGTAAGAAAATCATATCTGTACATAATTCAGTTGTTTATGGAATTGTCATGTGTTTAAATTCATGTTTTGTTGACAGGGTGATGGAGATGGCTTTAGTACACGACCTTGCAGAGGCAATTGTCGGCGACATCACTCCCCACTGTGGGGTATCCGTCGAGGAGAAGCATCGTCTGGAGGATGATGCAATGATCGAGATCTCCAAGCTGCTCGGGAATAAAGGCCCAGACACACTGAAACTCTTTAGGGCAAGTTACGACGATCCATTTCACTCGTTTGTCCTGATAACTATTTTCAATATTTCTTCACAGGAATATGAATTGCGTGAATCCCCAGAGGCAAAATACGTTAAAGACTTGGATCGGCTGGATCTGATCATGCAAGCTTATGAATACGAGAAACGAGATCAGCGCAGTGGTCAATTAGATGAGTTCTTCTCTGAAACTCCAAAAATTAGTCACCCTCTACTCAGCAAGGTGGCCAACGAGATCATGATAAGAAGAGCTGCTGCGATTGCTTCGTCAACTATTACTCACTAATGCTCGTAAAGTTTGAAGCGTACGAAGTAAACGTACAAACAAAATTACTACCTTGTCAATCAAAAAATTATCCAAAAGATTAGCATTAAATGATACTCTTATCAAAGATATTTACAAGTGTCCTTAAGCTTCAAAATAGTAAACATCTCTTTCACTTTCGTGTTTATTTTGTTTTAAAGCTAAAATTGTTTTCTCTAATCATGTAATATTTAATACCTAATAACTGAGTAAATTAAAATTATACTTTTCTACTAAAGTTCAGAGTTGATAATTTTCTGAAGTTAAAAATAATCCACATTCACCCAAATTTGTATACAACATGGTTGTTATCTCGAAAAGCCCTTCAATTTTTTTGGAGCGTATAAATTGAGAAGGTACAACAGATAAAACGTAACGAGAGCTAACGAGTTTGCTCCCACTCGTGGTATTCGGTCATTGGTGAGCCTCTCTCTCTCTCTTTTGATGGTGTAAACTCCACTCATCGTCAATTGGAGATTTACAGTGTAGTGAGAAGTATTGTACCTAGCAATTCTCATAAAGTTTTTTCTATTCCTTTTTAAACACCTGAATTTTCCCACAAGTACTCATTTTCGTTGATGAATTACATTTACTACGGATATGTTTCTGAGTGAGAGAAAGTGAAGCTGAACACAAATTACACCTCGTGACTCCAGGATTGTTTGACTAATAGAGAGTGTGAGGAGGAGACATCACATGACCTTGTGTATAAACTGAACATCCGGTGCGTTAATCATAATTGTTTATAGAGGATTCTTCAGGTTCTTCTTCCAATAGAAAAAATATTTTAGATTATGCAATCAGTCTGTTATTATATCACATGTAACTTTTCACCTGTGTAAAATGCTCTTGAACGTGAGGCTGACATACATATTTGTTTATTCAACTGGTTTACGAGAGTGCGGATTTTTTTTTTCTAAGATGATTTGTTTATTCAGAATTGAGTCGCAATCAAAGACTCTCAAGACAATGTACCAGATTTGAGCGGTACGATAAAGTCCAAAAAACAACGAAACTTTACGATTTATGATCTCGATTACAGACAGCTTTATTCTACAAACATATCTAATCAAGAGACAAGAGGAACTGAATAAATATCCGAGATAAACCATATCGTCTGTCCTGGAATTCATTGAATTGACAATTCGATTTAAATGTCTGTTCAAAGGTAATGACTTCGAAATTTCCTCGGACCGATAGCGAGAGCAGTGCAACATTTTCAAACAGCGGTTCGACACCGAACGGAAGTAGCTTGGGGTCGGAAACAGACGAAGATGGCAATGATGACGAATTGGTCAAGTAATTGCACATGTCTAGTGTCTATTATACTCAGGCTACAAATTAATTTCAGAAATGAATTTCAAGTACAAAAACATTTTCATCCTGAATCGTTTTTTTACAACGATAACACTCGCGACTTTTAAAACACTTGGCAATTATTTGCTCATAAAACACTGGATTATCCTATCAGGTTCTATATTTTCGCGAATCTCCGATTCGAAACGAGTCATTTGCGTCCTCGATACGGCAGGACGTACTCACTCCGTAGTAATTCTAATGAATTATCGACGACTCGAAGTAACTCGGTTTTATCTCCTCAGGGTTATCAGGTCAATTCTTTCCTCATTCCAATTGCGCTACAGAGTCAGCATCCATTACGGTTTTTTCCTGAAGTAATATCTTGTTCTTTCCACGGTCATTGTCTAGACCACGAAAAACGCGATCTTGTCATCAATTATTAATTATTTAATTGCGAGGGTAAATTTTCGGATTTTCTGGTTACCAGTGACTGCATGTAGTGAGATTAAAATTCAATACGCTTCACTTAAAAATTTAATGTAGAAGTGGAATGGTTCCAAGATACGATGTCGGAAGCGCAGTTTCCCTGCAGAGGTATTCAGTGAATAATAATTAAATCCATCGGTACAGACTATTTTTATTTTACTTCCAGGGTGCCATTACAAGCACCTCCCCGGAGAAAACCGAAAATAATTCCGTCAGTAGTAAAAAAAAGTGGAACAGCTAATTCAACTGAGGCATCTGACATTCAGAGTCCTAATTCGACTATCACCAGTGTGAACAGCATCAGCAGTCTATTAAAGGAAAAACTGCAGTTCACATTGCCCCAGGCATTGAGGAGTAGTAAAAGACGACAGAATGCTGACTATAGGTAGTAAATGAGACTGATGAGGAATTATTAATTGGGGATAAAATTTTCTTTCGAAATAAATATTGCGGAACTGATTTTTTAGACTGCGGGCATTTGTGGGGATTTTATTCTTCTGCGTGGTGCTACTCGTTGCCTTTGCACATTTCTTTTATACTCAGTACGTGCTGCAGCATGCATACTACGACAAATTTAGGTAAGAGCAACACACCTCCCCGTGAATGGTAAATGCAGTCCCTGGGACCAATGCATTTTTCATTCCAATTGACTTCCTCCATAGGTTCAACAAGAATGAACGCTTGCTCTGCATCTACAGTAACCTGGGCTCCGAAATAGTATCCGCCCGTCTCGGCCAGGGAATTCCTCCGGATACCGGTGTCTTCCCCTGCCTCTCAGAGCACCAGAAGTCAGACTCAGTCTGTTTAGAATGGCTGCATTATTCTCGACTCTACTTGTCCCACATAAATCTCAACGGCATGCACTGTTACACCCTGACATGGCAGTCCCTGAGCCCGACATTCAACCCCCAGGACTGCTTCGACTGGTCGCCGAAGCGAGGCCACTGGTATGGGGCAGGTCAACTCAAGAGTATGGCGTATCCTCTGGAGCAAGGAAAACTCGAGATGAGTCCATTCGTAACGGGTGATATCCAGAAGCACCCCTTCGGCAATGTTCTCAAACGATATTTCCTCAACTCCCGGGGTGGTACCATTATCGTGGACCCTCAGTCTCCCCTCTACATCTCAATAAACGCAAACAGAAGTCGTGAATTCTGTCTTCAGGCGAAACACGATGATTTCGCCTACATAAATCATCTGACTCGTCTTCCACAGTTGAATTACACGATATGCGCCACTGACAACATGAAGAATCTCCACTCCTCGATGGCGGAGAAGTCCCTTTGGGATGGATTAAAACCTGATGAGTCGCAGGCTGTCGATGCCCTACTATCCGAGCCTGTCTGGCAGATATCACCTACCAACGAAGCTGCTATCTACAATTACACTGAAGATATCATAGCCCTCGGCTTTCTGAGGCAGGGACACGTGCTGCTGGATGCCGAGTGGCAGAAGAGTCCTGGGGATTTCACTCTGGATGACGCGAGATTTCCCTCCATGGAGGAGACCATCAACATCATTCGAAGGAGAGGATTCAGAATTGTTCTGACTATTCAGCCCTTTATTTCTACTGAGTCTATTAATTTTAAAGAGGCTGTCGACAATAGGCTGCTCATTTCGGAGAGAGGAAGTGATCCGAGAATTCCAGCGTTGACAAGGTAACAGGAAAATTCTTTTTCTATATAAAAAAAAAAACATGAATTGCGTTTTTCAGATACGGTCGCAGTAATAGCGCAGGAGTCCTGGACATCACGAACAACAGATCAATCCCCTGGCTCCAAGGAAAACTCCACAATCTAACAAAGAAATTCCACCTGGAGGCATTTTACCTCGACCTAGGGACAGCTCATGACATGCCACATTATTATAAATGTGAGGAGCCCCTGACCAATCCTGATCACTACAAAACCCTCTTCACGAATGCCGTAATCGGGACGATTCCGGTTCTTGGAGTGTCCAGTGCCATATCCAGACCAAAAGCTCCGATCTTCGTGTCCCTTCCTCCATTTCCATCGTCCTGGAAAGCGATAAAAAACGTGATACCGACAATTTTGAATTACGGAATAATTGGATTCCCATTTATTATGCCAGGGGCTGTGGGTGGGGACGTGGACCTTCCAAAGTCTGATAACAATCCAAACAACGATTTTGCAGTGAGTCTTCCTGACAAAGAGCTCTACATCAGATGGCTGCAGCTCTCGACATTCCTACCTGTCATCAGATTCACTCATCTCCCCAGTAAATACTCGGATGAGCCTCTCCTGGAGATGGCCAAGGCTCTGACGACCTTGAGACAGAAGATAGTGACACCCCTGTTGAAGAAATACGTCAACGAAACGTTGGAGTCAGGTGTACCCATCATCAGACCCCTTTGGATGCTGGACCCGGTGGATCCAGCCTGTCACATCGTCATGGACGAATTTTCCGTTGGAGAGGAGCTCATTGTCGCTCCAATTCTCTACTCCGGGAGCAGGCAGAGAGAGGTCTACCTGCCAGCTGGTATCTGGAGGGACGGCATCGACGGAAGCCTCAGGAAAGGCTCCAGGTGGATTCACAATTATCGAGTCGCTGAAGATAAAGTCGCTTATTTCGTAAAAGTACCCGATAATACGAGATTCTAGGAGAAGAGTGTCGACTGATAGTTCTGAAGATTTACAATAAATAATTACTCAATTGTTTAATTATGTTTTGTCGTGTTTGCGGTCATTGACGTATCTGAAAATATTTGGGTAATGTTGTGCCATGCGGTGTCATCACGGAGAATAAAATAAAAATAAACATCTGTTGTGAGGGAACTGGAGGGAAATGAGACCCGTATAAACAACCGCGTCGCGACGGAGCATCACTGTACTTCCCCGTTCTATACATATATAACAATGTAAAAGCTCTTATACCTAAAGCGCTTGAAAGTTCGATCGGATCTGGAGTATACGTAACCCTCTCGTGGAGGATCTATGAATAGTGCGCGTTCAGGCACGGCTTGAGACGTCCACGATTTTTTTTATCACAGCGAAAATAGTTGATCAAAGGCGGCATTGTCATAATCACACTTGACATTACCAATGCCATCCCGGAGATTTAAATCACCACCAGAATGAGGGTCAGATTGAATTGCCTTGACCCTCGTCGAGAGCGTTTGATCGATTTTTAAATAGTAATAGAAAAATACTTGCGTTCCTCGTTAGTTCAAATCAACGACCATGAAGAGCCGGGTTTTGACGTGCTCATTTGAATCATCGTTTCCACATGGTGCTGGATACAGGATAAACTTAGAATCAAGTTCCGGTAAGTGCATCTGTGCGTTTTCTTCGATTCTTTTGTATTTCAATGGTTTTTTTTATTCACACGCCACGAGTTCCCACTCTGGTTGTTTTTCAATCATTCTGCCCACTTTATTTCAAAACCACACGCTCTGAGGAACATGTGGAGGCCAGTTTTAAGACGCCTTCCGACCAAGACGAAGCGTTTCACATATTTCTTTGAGTTTTTACAGTTTTCGGGGGATTAGAGTATTTTTTACACGTCCTAACGGTATTTCTCACATGGCACGGTCATTCAGAAAAATTTTTCCCTTTGGAGGTGGAGGTGTAAAATTTTGATTGTGAAATCCGGAGTCATTGAAACCCTCAGCCCCCCGGGGTTTCAAATAATTCTGTCGCTCTCCCTCCCACTTTTGTAAAGTGTTTAGAATCTCAAACTGGCCCAACGGCGGTTAGGCCCCTGCCCCTACCCCGACTGACTTAACAGGTGCACGAGGTGTCCCAGGTTTTTCTCCCAGTCAGTTATCACCGTCGCCTCAGATACGACAGTAATTTTACTTCATTCTCCATTTAATTATCCCTCTTCGATTTGTAACCGCGAGAAAAATGCCGCCAATCATTCAAACCGAGTGTCAAACCCGAAATAAATTAACGCGTCTATAATTATTGATCAATGGGAGGAGTTGAATTTCTCCAATTTCTATAACCAGTACAAGTTTTTGGAATTGAAGAGGATAGATTTTTAGGGGTCTTTACGATGGTTATCTTCGGTAGAAAAAAGAAACCAGACGATCGGCGATTGCTCGCTAGCACGGATGAGGTCTGTAACGGAACAAAAGGACACCAACAAGATAATGGTAAAGAATACAATCCTTTCAATTAACGAAAGCCATGAAAATCCTCTTACAACTCGTAAATAAATAATTGCAATCGATACAGCAGACGAGAAAAGTCAGTGTTAATTCGAGCCCTTTAACGCTCTAATTATTGCACAATGTGTACTGGCATGCAACTCGACTTTGGTATCAATTAACATGTGACTGCAAGTTACAACATTATATTATCATTGATATGCCAATAGGTGATTTGTCTGAAATAAATTGAAATAATAGTTAAATCCACCTGTGGCGGGATGCAATTATTGATCGAGCCACCACGCCCGAACGGGGGTTGATCGCGCAGTTCCTCTCATCCCCCTACCCCCATCGAATCCACAAAGCCACCCCCTCATCCCGTTATGAAGCATTCTCTGGCGATTGTTCCAGCTGCCTTCATGCACGTCAGGGATAACATCGAGGAGCTTGGCACAGTTGCCGATGATACCGATTTACTATTCCTCAAGGGATTATTGGACAGTCCAGTGGTAACATCCCTCGTTAAGGTCAGTAAAAAAATTTGTATCTCTGTGAATTTATAAGTGAAATTGAATGGAGTGATGAACGATTTGATCGGGTAGGAATGGAATAAGCGCGAAGGATTGAATTTTGAAATTTCGGTGGAAGATTTGACGGCAACTCGTAGACCATTGAGACTGAAAATTCTCGTACGTCCCTGGATTTTAATTTATACCGCATTGCATACCAGGAACGACGGCGACTCCACTGGTTTCCCACAAGTCCCCCACCTGTTTCGTTAAAAAGCCAACCGTACGGGTCTCAACCCGATGCTATCGAGAGAGGTGGATTAGGCGCGGCGCTGGCATTCTGACGCTTTCAATATCGTAGAAACACCGAGGAGGTATACTACACCTTTTTCATTAGTTTTTATCAAATTCGAGACAAGACCACGAGTGTTTGTTGAGTTAATTAATTCCATTTATTGTCTGCTACCTTTCGGTCAGTTGACGGTACTCATGGTCACCATCAGGTAAGCGCTATGGGAGTGTCTCCCTGTGGAATGCAAAGTAATTATCATTAGGATAATTATAATTTGTTTAATTTTAATGTGTCGAAGGCGTGCTCGAGGAATGACGAATGGAGAACTGACGGATTTTGCGGTTGATTGAGGGGAAAGTGGGTTTTTCAGTTGTGGAATAAGTGGGTCAAGTAATGTTGTTTTTTAGACAACATGGCTTCAGTGGTTTTTAATTCGTTGCTCTTATTTCACACGTGGGTGGATATTTTCCATGCTGGATCGCTCCAGAATGGTGACTAATGCATTACGTCAGTAATAATAACTGAGTGTTTCCCTCTCGTTATTGTACGTATCATCGCCAAACCCTTTTTTACGAAGCAGGTGGAGAACGCCAGTTCGAAAATAGAAATCAAATATTACGTATAAATATTTTCCTTTCATTGTGCTCGTCCATAAATTCCCTCATAATTCCAGGCAATTGCCTTTTCAATTTGACGCTGTATTTACGATGGAGTGAATTTTATTTTCAGCTACAAGAGAGACTAGAGGAACCTCCGGCTTTGTTGGAGCCAGTTAATTATTCAATTTGTGATACAGTTGACGAGGTAGTACACGCCTTTGAAAATTCACGCAACAGCAACGCACGTCAGCTTAATCATCTCCTTAGAAAGTCCCACGTAAAAGCACTTCTCGAGACACACGACGCAGTGGCACTGCGGCGAAGAGAACCAGCAATTTCACCAGTTGTATCAGCAATGCCGAGTGACGAAAGGACGGAGATGATCCGAGTGGTTGGCCTCAGGCGTCAGGAGAATGAACCGCTGGTGAGAAAGATTCCAAAAGATCTCGATGAATCTCCATTGACCTCTGAAATTAATCCATTCTTTTTTTTTCGGTTTTTCAGGGGCTTACAGTGCAGGTAGACGAAAATGGCAATCTGATAATCGCAAGGATACTCGGAGGGAGTACTGTGTCTAAACAGGGTCTCCTGAGACCTGGCGAGGTAATTATGGAAGTCAATGGAAAGCCTGTGCACACGCCTGATGAATTACAACAGGCAATACAGGCGGCCAAAGAAAATTTGTCGTTGAAAGTTGCACCTGGCATTGCTAATGATGGAAATAAGCCCATTAAGTCGACAGTGAGTAATTCATATATTCATCCACATTTTTGTCATTCCGTGATTGTAATTATGATAAGATATTCGATAAATTATGGGTATTAGTCATTATAGTTTCGTAATCTTCTCGAAAAAATTTATGAAATTCTTTTTATATAGTGTTATATGAGAGCACTTTTCGACTACGATCCATCAGAGGATACCCTCCTCCCTTGTCGAGAAATAGGCTTGCCTTTTCAAAAGGGTGATATTCTACAAATAGTCGATCAAGCGGATCCAAATTGGTGGCAGGCAAGACGAGTCGAGGGAGATGGTTTGGGCCCTCCAGGACTTGTACCTTCTCTCGAGCTCGAGGAGCGTCGCAAGGCCTTTGTCCCACCCGAGGCAGATTTTGTTCACAAGATCAGTATCTGCGGGACGAGAATCTCTCGTAAGAAGAAACGCAAGATGTACGAATCCAAGTCCAATGGGGAATTCGACAGTGCAGAGTTGTTGTTGTATGAGGAGGTGGCGAGAATGCCACCATTCAGACGTAAAACTCTTGCTCTGGTTGGGCCCAGGGGCGTAGGGAGAAGAACCCTCAAAAATCGATTGATCAATAGTGATCCAGAAAAGTTTGGGACCATCGTACCATGTGAGTAAATTTATTGGAAAATAATTGGTGGAAAATTCCTGGGGGAAAAGATAATTCATGGCTGAAATAATGTTTCTTGTTGAGGTAGATACATCGAGACCTCCCAGGGTCCTCGAGGAGAACGGGAAGAGCTACTGGTTCACAGATCTCGAGACGATGGAGGATGATATTAAACAGCATCGTTATCTCGAGCACGGAGAACACGGTGGTCATCTCTATGGGACGAAACTCGACTCGGTTCGTGAATTAATTCGCGCTGGGAAAATGTGCGTTCTCGATTGCAGCCCAGCAGCCCTGAAGATCCTCCACAACAGCACAGAGTTCATGCCTTATGTGATATTCATTGCTGCACCTGGAATGGAGCAGCTCAAGACACTTTATGATCTGGGGAGAACTACCGGGGCCAGCAGTCGTAATTTAACTGTACGTACTAAATCATGAATAATGAAGGAATAGGCTCGATTAATATATTTATTTTTCATGCCTGCTTATTCCTAAATTTATCATTGAATCATTCTTTGCATGAAATTACTGCTCGAATAGATATTTCTGCTCGAAATAATTAAATAGATTTTTTTATAACGATTATTCGAATGAATCGTCTTTATTCTAGCGTGCATAATTATTTTATTTAATCGTAAATATGTTTAAATGTTGGAATTTGGTAGTTTGATCGTCAAAGCTCCATCAGGTACAGCTCGAGACGCGCCAGAACCCTTGAATCCCTTGCATCGTTGTACGAGGTTTGTACATTCGCATGATTAATTGTTTTTTATTCGTTACAAAAAAATATTTGTGTTGTTGAATTTTCAAGGTCAAGTTTTTCGGGTATTAATGGTATTAATAATTGTTCCGATAACAGGAGGACGATCTAAAATTGACTCTGGAGGAATCTTCAGCTTTACAACGAGCTTATGAAAAATACATCGACATGGTCATCGTTAATGAAGACTTTGACAATACTTTTAGGCAAGTTGTGGGTGCTCTGGATGCACTGGCAACTGAACACCAGTGGGTGCCTGTTAACTGGATCTATTAAGTGGATTTTCGTTATTTCAATTAAACAAATTATTATTAGAGCCAAGCTCTTTAATTTTAGCGAGTTAATTCATCGTTTTTGTGTTCACGAGAGAGTTTTGCATTCTTCGTTTATTCAATCATTTGTCAGTAGCTTTTTTTTTATTTAGCCAATGATAATAGAAAATTTCAGAGCAAGACATTAGCTCAGAGTCATCACGTAAATTTTTTTTTTATTCCAACGAAGAGGCAAAGCCATCTGTAATGGATAAATTTTATTGACTAACGGGAGAAAAGGAGCCAAAAGCCGTCCATTTACTTTTAAGAAATGAAACTATTTTGTTTTATTCTATTATTTTATACAATACGCATTGGGGAATAAATCGCCTGTATGTGTCGTTTTTTTAGTTGCAAGTACATGTCAATGTTTTTTTATTTTATTTACAATCTGGCACCCACCGTGCCTTTATATAATTATCAAACCACTCCAAGAATCTCTTGAAATGATCAAAATAGTGTGAAAATCCTGGAAAGCCCAAAAATTGCAATCAATATTTTATACATTGTAGAAATGAAATATATTGTTGGTAGGAATTGAAAAAAACAAATACTTTTTACCTTGCAAAAAAAATCCCTCCAAATCCTCACGTTCAAAAAAAAATATAGAAAAAAAAATGAAATGGTAATTTTTAAAATCACGTTACGCGGCGATTAATAATTTGGGGTTTTTCAAAATATTCGTTTTATTAAAAAAAATAATTGGACTAATAATTTACCTCCTGTCGGTCTTAAAGGAATTGACATTTCCGACATTTGGTAACTTACCGATAATCGGTATTTCTTCTCCCATTCGTTAGTCACTCACTCCGCCAGATGACGCAACAATCTCTAAACTCCATCCATTCGAATTAAGTAATGAGTATCGAATGATTTAATATTGACCAATAAAAAAGAACTCGTGAAATTCCGCGAATGAAAGAGATCAGATAAGAGCACAAATTCATCGAATAGTCGATTATCTCTGGAGCGATATCTCTCCCTCGACGGTATCGCATCCACGTTAATTAAAGTCAGAGATAATTACCTTATCTCAGATGGACGTGAAAAGCCGGGAAAGCCCGTCAGGTGCTGATGACAGTCTACCCCGGGTCCCCGTAATCCTAGGGTGAAGAAAAAAAGCATTAACCACCCCAAGATTGTTATCAACCGTGGATCATCTGACGAGGACACCAATCCCTTTGTAGGCCATACGAGACTGGGAAATTACAGAGGTGCGTAAACCTAACGCGCCTATTTGCTGGATAATCACTCGGGTCGGATCTTAAGAAAACATCTTTTAATTTACCGAGGGTAGTTACGTCCTGCCCACTTCGCACGTTGTGATTATACCCTTGAGGCGATAGAAACATCTGAAAAATTTTCTCATTTTCCACTTTATCCATCCCTCTTTCATTTAAATATCTTGGATACATTTTTTTTATCGTCATGAATTAAAATTCCTGACGAGAGCTGTTGAAATTTGGTGATAAGCAATCGTCCGGGGAATTTATCGTAAACTCGTTGGGCAGTTGTACGGATTTTCTCGAACGTGGGAAAGTCCTCGGTGAAATGACATTAGTGACTGTTTGAGGACAAGTTCTGATAAAAACGTTAATGGTTCAGGTTGCATGAACAATTTCACATGTTTTAAACTCGCGCTAAGTTAAACAGGAACAAACTGACGCACCTTGACATATCGTTTTCACGTTAGTCAAATATCACTGGAAATATAAAGGAAAAAGAAAAAAAAAAATTATCGTCAAGTTTGTTTGGTTGCTGAACATGTGTCACTGAGATATCGGTGATACTTGTCCTTAAATAGGTTGTGAGCTATTGGAATAATTCAAACATCGAGGGACTCTCTGTATTTGGACGTCACCTATCAAATGAGAATGACAAAGAGTTTTATCTCCAGTGGAAGGAAGTTGGTGAGATTTGAGAACACAGCAACAGGAGTTTCACCAGGTCGACGATGGCAGTTCGTTATCTCGTTTGGGACAACTGAAAATATCCCCCAAGACGAAATACCAACACGGAACTATTTGCACTGCACTTGTCTCTGCAGGCGTTTCCCAAAAGATATATACCATTCACTTTTGAATTTTTCAGGGATCGACGGGGATGATAAATATTTGCCACAACAGCGTCCTGGGTAAATAGCCTTCTAGAATTACTGAAAAAAAAATTTTTGGACACGTCCGAGAAATTTTTACCGCGGGTCCAGTGTCGGTACAGATGTTCTCACGATCGGGACGTTTCAGGTCAAATAATTTTATTGATAAACAAATTTTTTATTTGCCATTTGCCAATGGTGAATTTGGGTGAATTCTCGATTACGAAATAGTGTCAATGATTATTTTTTTAACCCCACACACGTCGACCATTTCGGAGGTGAATTCACAACGGGACACCGCGGGAATCTCCTCGTGATACGAAATCCTCAGCCACTGGGCGAATTTCATTTTCAATTTGATTTATTACCAACCCGTCTTAAATTTATTACATGCCGATGTTTTACATTGTGCAAAAAGGAATAAATTCGGGGTATCGATACACACCGGGATATCTGGTAGTTACGACAGTGTTATTTCGGGGAAAATTTCAGTAATTCGGTTAATACCGGCAGCGAGGAAATATTGATTCTATTGATCAATCATTCGTCCCGCTGTGGGGCATCCTAGGGCCCCGGGTCGGCGGGTAAAAGAGAAATGGCGGAATTTCGGACGCCATGGGAAAAGAATTCAAAAAGAGAACAGATTCCCAGGGATCTTTTTTTTTTCTCCTTTTTCTTCCTCCGGGGCTGTGTTACCGAAAGTAGGTGAAATATCGGACGTTTCATTCGCGATTTCTCAACTGATGTGAGATAAAACGGCGAGTATTTTTTTTTTTTTTTTCGTTTCTTCAATTTTGGTGATTTTAGGAATGGAAAAGGGAGATTGAGAGTAATTTTGGAACAATGCAGTCCACTCCCTGAGAGGCGCTGAAAAAAAAGGCAATCCAATTGGCTGGTTTATGATGACTTACCATTTTTTTTTTCTTTACCCTCCCCCCCCTCCCTCTCGTCGGGGCATAAGTGCTCTATTGTGTTGGTAAAGTAAACGACAGTGAACGCAAAAGGGCGGTGGCGATGTTTCCGTTAAGTAAAAGGGGTTTAATCACTGGACGTCAAGACCCACCTCCCTGTCCACCTCTGAACGTGAATTAATGCTGGCAAAGTCGAGATGGGAGCAACGGTCATGGCATTCTTTCCCAGGCGTTTCAACATTTAATTACGTTTATTTATTATTTTATGTTTGAAAAATTTACAAGTTTTTTTACAAACGAGGGGAGACAAGAAATTGAATTTTTTGGATTCCACGGGGAGAATTTGAGGGACCGAGAGAGATATGCCGGTGGGGAATTAACGGTGGGGGTTGATTTGTGGTTTGAGTTACTTTTTGGGTGAATTTATGGGAATTTATTGAGGTACTGCGCTTTTGTAGTTGAATTAAAAAATGTTGAATGAATTATTCTGGTGGGATTGTTCTACCCTAATATTATTATGTTATTTTAATTTTTGAATAATCCCGCAAATTGGAAAAATGAATAAATAGCGTGGTAAATCCCCGAACAATGAACGGCGCCAGAAGCTCGCTAAGTAGCCAATCGAAAAAAGACGACTGCACAATGAATGATACGTTAATTGGATGAGTCCACAGAGAATTACGAGAATACATTCACACGACTCGATGGGGTAAAATGAAGAATAAATTCTTGAAAAGGGAGAGGGAGAGAAAGGCGAAGAAAAAAAATAAAAAAAATAAGGATTTCACCTGAGGATCGGCGACAGTCCCTGATCTGTTTGCCTGTGTGCCGAGTGTCCGAGTGCGTTACAACTCAAACCTTTTAGTGGTTGTTTGAACGTTCGCTTTGTATTTTATTTGTACAAGGTCTTAAACACTCGGGTGTCCCGTGGTGAACCGTATACATCCTATAGGGTCAAAAGTAAAATTCAAAACGAGCAACGAGTATTGGCTTGTCGGCCAGCAACCGAGATGCCACTCAAGGCATCTTCAACTGTCATCGAAATATCAAGATACGTGTTTTCAATGCAAACTTATTTAAATCCTTGAGATTTCTATTCTTTATTTTTTCAACCTCTTGCTGTGACACTCGTGCTTCGTAATCTCTCGTTAATACCTCACAACTCATCTTCTTTTAATTTACAGACAACATTTAGTATCAAATTGAAAAAAACAATCTGAATGCACCCATTAATTGACATGTAGCAGCTGTTTATTCATGGTCTGCAAGCGATCATTAAATTAATCCAGAATCAGCCTAATCGATTAAGCCGGACTGTTAATTAATGGGACTATTAGTGATAACTGGTAAACGTATCAATTGGTATGATAATGGAGAGCCCAGACTGTCTGAAACCCGAAATACCGCGTATCTCTTCATAAATAATAAAAAAATGTTGACAATAAAGACAGTAATCCATTGTACATGAAGTTTACGAGGGGATTGGTGGACTTCCTCATTGAAAAATGTCACGAGTTAAACGACAAACGGAGGGAAAAAAAAAAATTTGTCACAGCCAGGTGAAGAGACACCTAAGGATCTCAGTAGCCAATACCCGGATGCACGCTAGTTAAACGGTCTCTTCAGTCCGAGAAAACCCGAGGGGAAAGATGAAAAAGAGGGAAATAAAAGGGCTTTACCATGGAATGCTTTTTCGCCTTGCTATCATGCGCAGTGAACCGCTACCACAAGGGAAAAATCCCCAACCCCATGGGTACACGCCTCATCACACCATGAATAACATCAATGAAGTTGTCATCTTACTTGAGGTGGACTCATCCCATTCATCGACAAATATTCTATTCTCTATTGATTTTCGATCGGTCAAATTGAACAGATCAGTCGATTCAAATCCTTTTTCCATGCTGTCTCCCTTTTTTTATTTAAATTAACCACCGGAAAATTGTGGAAATTCATATTTTCTCTCTAGACGTACGAGAAAAAATTGCATCGAAAGTGAATTGACTCGAGGTTAATTACAAAAAAAAATAAGCATTGAGGTAAAATAATTAAATTTTTTGTTAATAATTGAGGGGAGAGAGAGATGAGTTTGCAGTGGGTTAGATGTTTGAGTTATTTTTATGGGGAAATAATGGGAGATGATGTTATCGGTTTTAAAATGGAGATAATACCCCCTGAAATAGCGGAAATGGGAAGCGTTGAGGATGACGACAACAAATAGACTTCTCTACCCCGACAACTTGATTTGAAAGATCAGATGGGAGCCAGGCATATAATATAGCAAAGAACCGGGACATTATTTGTTCTTGACCGGATCCTCGGGGTGGGTAGGGCCGAGAAAAGGCGGCATTTAC